ATTATTATTATTATTATTATTATTATTATTATTATTATTATTATTATTATTATTATTATTATTATTATTATTATAATACTATTATTATTATTATTATTATCATTATCATTATTATTGTGAAGGAGGAGAAAAAATAAATAAATAAAAATCAAGGTCTATGATATTATTTCGAATTTTTTAAATATATAATTTTGCAAATATGTAATTTTTAAATTTTAAATTTTATAATATTAATAAAGAAATCACCAACATTATTATTATGATTATTATTATAATTATTATTATTATTATTGAATTTCATTAATTCATTTCCTTCTCGTGAAATTTTATCTATTTTTTCGGATGATGATGGTGATGATGATGATGAAATTGATGATCCTTTCGTTTTTTTTTGAATCTGATCATAAATATAATAATCTTCTGGTAAATATTGAGAAGATTCGAATAATTGTTTATCATCCACTTCTAAACTAAAATTGGTTTGATTTTCTACTATAAATTAAAAAAAAAAATGTTGATTCAATAAATAAAATTCATATTTAATGAAATAATATAAATCAAATAAATAAATAATAATAAATAATAAATAATAATAAATACTATGTTTTGTTATGGGAACCAATTTTTTATTTTTAACTTTAATCGCAAATAATTCTGAAAATTTCAATATTTTATCTTTTTCAAATGCTGGATATAATGACTTAATATCGATTGATGTTCCATTTTGTGTTATATTATTATTATTATTATTATTATTATTATTATTATTATTAAATGTTGGTGTTGTTGCAGCCTGCTGAAATAAAAAAGATGATTGTTCTAGTGGAATATTAACATCCATTAAAATCGTATTTTCTTGATTTATATTATTGTTGTTGTCATTATTGTTATTAAATTGTTGATTATTATTCACGAAAGAAGAAGAAGTAATTTGTGAATCTTTGGTAATTTCTTGTTGTTGTGTTTTAAATAAGTGTTGTTTCCGTGGTGGTTGTTGAAGTAATTGTTGTTGTTGTTGTTGTTTGAGTAAGTGTTGTTGTTGTTGTGAAGTCAATTGAGTTATTAAAGATTGATTTTGTAAAGTTTTAACTCTGTTTACACCTTGTTGATAATATTTATCAGAAAACATTGGATCGTCCGCTATAACCTCATTTGTATCAAAATAATCAACCGCATCTTCTACAGGTTGAACATTAAATCCTTCTGGTGATTGTATGGGAGTTGAAACACCCATTTCACTTTGACCTGCTTCCTCTTCTCCCATTTCTTCAATTCCCAACGATTGTACTGAAAATATTTGACTAAGTACTGCTCCTTCTTCTGAACCTTTTTGAAGAGAATCTCGAAGCTCCTAAAAATATATATATATATATATATATTGGAGAACGCATGGTTAAACAGTTTGATAAATTATTTTTCTGAACTACCAAGAAATATTAGCTTCTTTATTCCTTCTTGTACCTCCCCAAGTCCTGAATCTTCCAAGTGTCCCTCCGCATCAACATTTCCGAAAAGGAACCCACTTAACTTTGATGACATTTTTTATATATATATTATATATATTTCAATTCTTTTATAATTTTAATTTTCAACTTTTTAAATACCCAATTTATCACGGATTACATAAGCATGGTTTTTTTGATATTTTGATCACTATTTCTCACCCCCTAGTTGACACACCGTGTCACACCGTTAGTATCGTTTTTGAGACACCTATGGTTATTTTTTTGATACATCAAATACGTGTGACAAAAATGGTCAATTTTTTGATATGTTTATAATTGTTTTTTTTGTTTATAGATGCATCAAAAAAATAACTATTTTGTCACATGAAATTTGATATATCAAAAAATAACCATAAATATATCAAAAAC